TCGAGAACAATTGTATGTTCTGCGCTAAGAACGCATTTACAACAGAACGATTAAAGCGTATCTATCTACACAAAGGAGCATGGAGGAGGCGTATCACTCTTCACGGAAGATTGCAAGAAAGTGTAGTTAATGAAAGGTAGCTTATTCAAAAAGGCTCGTTGACAAAGCAACACGGTTATGGATTCACAGTCAAACTGGTCAGGGAGCAAGTGCCAGATTCTTTAATTGGCGGTCACGACTCAGATTTTTGCTCGCTGAGATGCATTTTGGTTTACGCTTTAAAATGGCTTAGAAAGCATGTGCTTGATTTCAATCTAATTACTTTCTAGACGTCATCTCAATGTTTGCCATAACACTTATTCACATGGGCAATAATACATGTAGAAATATGATGGGGTATGTACACCGTTGGCTCCCCACCTCCCTGAAATACGTCCTTGAGTCCGGGAAAGTGTTTTTACAGTGTCGCCTGTGTGCTACGATCCATGAATTAGATCCACTGCCTCTTTATTTACTCATTGAGATAAGTATATCCATCTATCTACCTATATATCGGTATACACACACACACAAGCATGCATATATATATATATATATATATATATATATATATATATGTATATATATATATATGTATATGTCATACAGAAACACTACCATATACCGTCATATATCCAGGTATTTCATTGGATATCAAGACGAAGGGGGCAAGACATGCAATATTGCACGATAATAATTATGTAGGAAGCCGTTTTCAGAGTTGTAAGTCTTTATTTTTCTGCTATGTGCTAGCATGCAGACAAAGTTTCGGCCGGTTATCTCTCCGATCAAGTGTTATGGAGTTCTTAGAACGACAGAATGGTCTCTGGCTTCTGTCATGTACGCTTGGCTACCCCAATTCTCTCCCTGGAATGACCGGATTCGAACCAGGGTCTTCCGATTGCGAGTCTAGCGCTCCACCAACTGAGTTAACGGGAATAAGAATAACTCCGACTATTGCGACAAACGTTTGCGGTCGAAGAACCCATATATTGATATTTTGACACATGGTGACACATTTTTGACATCCAAGAGAAGCACTCTGGTGTACGTGCAATGTCCTTCGTAGCCAATTTAACTCCCGTTATTTGGCACGGAGCAGTATTTGATTCGGAGTTCATACAAAATAAAAAAATAGATACATAGGATCCAAAAGCCCTATATGACGAGACGAAGCTGCGTTGTACATGTCAGCTTTTCATAACCCGGGGGTGCGGTACTTGAGTTGCAAAATTGTTCAGGGTGAGCCACTGCGATATCACCTTAGTGATCATTCAACCGTCAGATACCTTTGACCATGGCACATCGTCTGTCAGTGCCTCCTGGATCCGAGTTGTCATCTTCATTCCCCCAGGGAAAATCCTGGGAATGCCACGCGTACGTTCACATTCGATTGGCTGATGTCTAGGTTCAGAGCAGTTCGCAAATTATTTGCGCCGTGGAGGGCAGGCGCACCTCAAGCGTGATCACTGGAGTGACCCGGTGCACGCCACGTCCCATGCCATTTCGCCTTTTCCATCGTCATTTGAGTACCATCTAATAGGTATTTTGAAAAACCAACACCGTTTAAAGACATGTAATGAAAATGGCTTCTGCAGTATGCCTGTCAAGAAGTCTATTTCCAATGACAAGGGCTCGGTAAAAGGGAACGACGTCCCCGTGCGTCTCATGCCAGGACACCGGCGCCGCAGCAACGCAACAGCCACACGTTAATGACCAGCTGTCTGTAGTAGCTAGTAATCCCTGCTACTGCGCTCTGTAGACCCTACGGTGAGCCGTGCCCGCGCGGCGGCATTTTCGTGTGCTACCTCACGGTGCGTGCGGGACTTCCATGTAACCGTTCACGCGATCGATAGCACACATATAGATAATACACAGACCACAGTTGTCGAAAGAAAACAAAGATCCTTGTTACCTTTTGAAATAAAGCAAATTTGTTAAGTGGATCATTTTTGGAGCGTGTGTTTATACGATAACGTTTCAAATGGTGTGATTCGTTAGTTCCACTCTACGGAACTGGCTACATACAGCAAAGCGTGCATAAATGAAAGCACATGGACAGCAGAGGCAACCGTCCTAGGCAACCACCTTCATGAGCCGCAGCTCCTCCTGTTTTCAGGAGCCGAGTTTACTCACATCAATTATGTCGGCTCCCATCCGCTTCTAGGCTCCCACCGCATCAATATGTCGCTTCCATCCGCTTCCAGGTAACCACCGCATCTTCTGCTATCCGCTCGCAGGTTACGGACGCCACATCGCGCCGAAACGGACTGGGGCAAGGTGGTGACCATGCTGTACGCCATCCTCGTCGCATACCCCTCATGTGCCTGTGCCTGTGCCTCTCCAACATCAGCGAGGCATGGCGCACCTCATTCAAGGTCGTCTACTGAAGTGCTGTTGCTACCTATGCACCAAGAAAGCCGAAGAAGCGAAGACGTCGAAAAGGAAGACGATGGTGAGGCTCTTAGCCTTTGCTGCAAGGGCTGGTGGCGCATGGGATGGGTTGCGTCCATGGGCTCCATGGGAATGGATTCTGGAACTGTGACACGGATTGGTAGGAGCACTGGATGTGAGAACGTGGATGCTGGAGTCGTGGAATGATAGGGACTCTGGGACGTGGAGGCTGGGGTCGCGGAATGGAGGAGACATTGGGAATTGAAGGCTGGGGTCGTGGAATGCTAGGGGCTGGGGAGAAGACTGCTAGGGACTGGGGATGAGGATGTCAGGCTCTGAGCTTTGAGGACACGTCTGGGGACTAGGACTGAAAACTACGGGAACTGGGGACCTGGACTAGACGAGACCTGAACTGACAGAACTGGGGCGTTGGAATGCAAGGACTGAAGACTTGACTAGCAGGGCGGATCCGCGGACTAAGCAGAGACTGGCAGAAGTTGAAAAGCCAGGCTGGGTACATGGATTGTGCTACGGAAGTCGGATCTCAGACAGAGGGTGGCTCTATGGCTCTTTAGTCGGGTGGCAGGACTTTTTTCAGAGGGTCACTGGACAAAATGCCCCCCCCCCCCGCCCTCACAGCGGGGACTCACGCGCAGGGTTGTATTCAGGAGGAGGGACATCAGAGGTCATGTCACTTGCTTATTCCGACTGTGTGGTGTATCTTATTCCAATCAAACCTATGACGACTGTGAAAGACTCCAGAATGGGAACCTTCTAATTATCCTGAAAAATACTTAACCTAAAACAATTCCTCCAGTTTAAAAGGGCCTCACGATGCGTGGAAGGTCATGCTAATCCAGATCAGGATCTTGAAACTCGCCATTGGGGCCTTTAGTTCTATTGCAATGTGCATCGCTATCCCAAAACGGGAATCTTCTTGCTCTGTAACCGCGCCACCCACCACAGATGCAGGAATGTGCTCCCCAAATGTGGACTGACCATGGAACCTACAAATAGGGGCCCTCCCATTAACAAAGGTGCCTTCTTGATACACATTGGGCCTCCTGAGTTAGAGCTTGGTTACCTTGTTCTTAAAGGTGACCTTACAGATCCAGAAAACTGATCTTATGATGCAGTCAAAGGTCTTCTGAGCCCATTCATTATACCTGGTACCAATCAGTGGGGGTAACTAAGGCCCCCCACCCAAAAATGGTTTGGCAAGACACATATTACGACAGATGAAGGGGGTTCATCTGGGTCACAGGAGCT